TTTTCACTTGCATTCTTCAATGTAATGGAGTATCTTCTAGTCCATTTGGTTTATGAAGCAAAATTTGGTGGCCTTGTACATTATCATTGGATGTATTTATTTGAAAGATATAATACTAAGTTATCATACCTGACCATGTATAGTTTTACATTTATGCATTGCTAGATTATCGCATGCACAAATCAATATAATCTTTATATTTTGATAGATTTCTATGTCGTTTAAAGCAGAAAGTTAAAAGTCATGCACATATTGAAGTTTCTATTGCGGAGGTGTACATTATTGAACAAATGACAATTTGTTGCTCTTTATACTTTGACTTCAATATACACACTAGATTGTATCAAATGCCCAGAAGTGATGATGTTGGGGGGGTTGGAATTGTGTGGGCGTCTTTCACTTTTTTGTCATCTGAGTAGACCTATTGAGAGTCAAAAAAATTGGTGACATTTTCATAACGATGCAGAATATTGGGCGACACACAAATATGTGCTCCTGAATTGTGAAGAAGTTTTTTTTACCACATGAGTTGTTATAACACAATTTATGATGCCTTAAAAAATTAGTCCTCCAAACTGATTGTAATTGTTTTTTTAAATTTGTGCAACAAGTTTAATGAAGAGATGCGCGTATGCTGTACCCAAACCTTATAGATGAGGATTTGGGGAGATTATAGGATTTCAAATTTTCGCGATGATTATAGAATTATGTACGTTTTACTAATATAACAAAGTTACAGTTTGAACTGCTAACTCTATCATTATAGTTAAAATTATGTAAATACAATTTCGCATGTGAGAGTTCTTCAGCAAATGGTTGATGAAAACATTTATTGCATAGCATAAGGTCTTAGTTAGTTTGTGAAAACATGCAATGATTATTTTGTAAATGGTTTTAAATTTTATACTCTTTATTATGGGTAGCATAAATTCACAATGAATAGTAGTGTCTGTGCACTGGGGACCTCATGGAGCAAGAACGAAGTAGATTATTATGGATTATTGGAAGATATGTTGGAATTAGAATACTTTGGAATGGGAAACCATTTTGTTTTATTCAAATGCCATTAGTATGGTGTGTCTCATAGGGAGGTTAGAATGAATTTGCGATTTGGGCTTATTGAAATCAATCACACCCATAAGCTCAACACTAATGATTTATTTATATCAGCTTAACAAGCCCAACAAGTTTGTTATATAAGTTTTTTCGGTACCACTAGGGAGATATGTGATAGGCATGTAATGTGTAAAGTAAAAGTAAGAAGCAAAATTTAAATGCCCCATTTGACAAGGTAGAGTCAACATAATTTTCATATACCTGATGCTCTATTAAAAAAAAAATGTATAGCGATACCATTTGACATTTTGATCATTGTTAAACTTGATTATCTAGGTATATCAGTAGATAATAATGTGGCACTAATCGAGGTATCCATTGAGAAAATCTGAACCATCCAAACACAGCTAAGTGCACAAGAGGGAGAGAATGGAGATAAAGACAAAAAGCAAGTGGAATTTGAAGAGGGACCTACAGAGGAATCTAAACTTGAGTTTGAAGATTTTGATTTAAATAATAGTTAGGATGGTGAGGATGATTAGCAACCTAGCACTTTTATCTTGAAGTGTTAAATAGCATTTTTAAAATATTCAGAAATGTAATTGTAGTCATGTACATACTAATTTTTCACATATAGTTATAAAATTTAGTTTTGTTTCAAGTTTGAGGAGTCATGGAAGGTCTATTTGTTTTTTTGTTGAACTTTTTAGGCTTTTTGTACTAATAAATAAACAATCTCCATTTTCGAATATCCACTTGATGCCTTTATTCAAATGCACTAATATTATGTTTATATTAGATGTCTTATTTGTCTATAGAATCCAATAAATCTAAAATTTGGACTTTCTAATTTCATGCATATTGTTTTTAGACTTTCAAAAAGCAAGAACACATAAAGTTGCTTCTTTCTTTGAATTGTTGACAGATTAGTTTTTTATGTGGCTACTTCACACATTAGGTTTTATTAACTCATCCAGCTATCTATAGCTTCATTTCACTTAACAAAAGCAATTAGGTAATCTCCATTATTTGTTATCTGAAATTTTAAATTTGGATTTATAAAAAATATTACACTAACAATACACGTTGAATATATAGGATGTCTTTTAATAGAGGCCGAGGACTTGGTAGGCATGACAAAGGTGCACGAGGTCTTGGTGCCAAGCACATTCATGACGAGATGCCTCTGCTAATTGTTCAGTTACAAGCATGGTTCAGTCTAGTTATAAATAGATCTCAGTTCAGCTACAAGTATTGTTTTATTTAGTTATAAACAAATCTCAATTTTATCCCAAGTATATATCTATTCAGCTATATGCACGTTTATCTATTTATGGTACAAAATCTAAACCTAAGTTTTACAAGCATCGATTGATTCAATTATAGGCACGGTTCCGTTCGCTTACAAGCAGTTTGTTGTGTACTTATAAATAAAGTTACATTCTTAAGTAGAAGTTATTTGACATATATTTTTTAAAATACTTTTTTACCATCATCTATTATTTTATTTCTTTCATTTTAGTGTTATATTTATGTAAGGGTAATGTGATTAGTTGTGATTGATTTTAATTTATAGTAATTGTATACTTGTTGTTTATTTATTTTTAGGAGGAATATGAGCAGTCATGTAGTAGTCAATATGGCAATAGCCTTACTCTAAAGAGCTCATTTGATATACAAAAATGACTTGTAATTAGTGATAGGTTTTGTAAGAATTGAATTTATGGGTTTGGGAACACATATCATTATCAATATCTTGCTTCTATTGGCATTTCATTTGCATCTATTTCCACAGCAACTCCTCTTAGATATATTAGTTTAGATTAATTGTAAGAGGCAATTACTAAATCACTTGTAAATAAGAGACAAGCAGCTACTTCAAGACAAGCACAAGTGGTTGAGGAGGTAAGGAAATTAGTAGAAGAGATAATGAAGACCATAAAGGATGGCTACAATAATTTTAATGATGGAAAAGTTTAATGCAATGTACGATGCACATCAAGCCAAAATGATAGGAGTAAAGAAGGCAGTCAGTAGTGAAATTGTATTTAACATTCTTATATTTTAAAATTTTGCATTCTTATTTTATTTTTTATGTTCAAAAATAATTATCAAATTGTATTACTAAAGATTTTGACATTTGAAATAAACTGTGATATGATGTTTAATCATTTTTTATATACAATTGTGATAAATTAGAATTGAAATGATAAATATGCATTATAAGAATTGAAATGACAGGCATGTATTATAAGAATTACAAGACTAGTGATCTCTAAAATAGGTCATAAGGAAGTCACAAAATTAGTGACTCATTGTGACCTTGTACACAATTAGAACAATAAGGTTAATAGTGTCACTAATTAGTGATCGTCTAGTGATGAAAAAATGGGGGGAGGGGGTCTCTAAAACCGCACACGGGATTACTAATATGTGTCTAATTTTCTTAACAAAAGGGTCACTAACTAATTAGTGATTGCCTCTATATGGTCACTAATTAGAGACTGCTTGCTCCACAGTCACTATGCGATCACCATTTAGTGATTGATGTTGTAACTCAGTAAAAGAAAAATTAGCGACTAGTTAGTGACTGATTTGGCGATCACTAATTAGCGATTAAAATTTTGCCGGTCACTAAATTTAATTAGTGATGATGCATTCAGTGATTAAATTAATTGGTCACAAACTTAGTCAATGTTTCATTCAATGACTACGTCTCTGTGTATTTAGCTGTGGTTACTAAATCAACTTTTTTTGGTAGTGATATTTCTTGAATTTATTTCTAAAAATGAAAAGAAGTACAATCAAGTAGGTTTCAAAACATGTTAAAAGCAATTATGTACATTGAAAAACTCAAAATCACTTTGAAAAAAAAAAAAAAACTCTTGCAAACACCTTTGTAGTTCAAGTTAAGTTTTAGCTGAAGAATCTTTCATGGGGTAATTTTAGATTTAAACGAAATTCTAAACAAGTCCAAAATAGTTTTTATTTAATTATAATAATATCATTCAGAGCTGAAAATATCACTTTTCCATATTTTTAGAATCCATTTCTAATTTAGTTTTTTCTTATTTAAATAAAGAGAAATAAGATTTAAAAGTAGGTTTCAAAGCATCTAAAAAATGATTGTGTATTTTGAAAAACCCAAGATAATTTTGAAAAAGCTCTTGTAAATGCACCCTTTATTTCAAGTTAAGTTCTAGCCAAGAATCTCCGAGTAAATTTTTATATATTTTAAATAAATTATAGAAATCATATTATTTTGAATTTTTTGTATTTATTATTTGAATATATTTTCAAAAATGTTTGTAACTTTTTTTGGTTGTTCCCATATTATGTTCCTATGATATATAACTCCTTTTTATTTCATAAAATAGAAAAAAATCATAAATTCTAATAAAGTTTTTCAAGGTTGAACCTATGAAGCAGACAAGTTTACAAGTTCTAATTAGGAAATGGGCAGTCCAGAATCAAAACTAATCGGCTAATTTCGTGGGACTTTTTGAAATTCCAGATATTTTATGCCTTTATTAGCAATTTAATAGAGATATTTTTAGTTAGACTACCAATTTACAAATAAATGTAACTCATCAGAAACATTATGAATCATGTGCATGAGGCAGCCCTTCATAGTTCATACAAAAGGAAACGTCTATTTAAAGAAACCAAGACCGCCTCTTTATTTCAGATGAACAAAAGAGAGAACAAATATTGGAGGAGGACAAACAGGAAGAAATGAAAGCTAAAAAAGTTCCAAGTCCGGTAAAACCGGGGATTGGGTGCAGCCATACTCGCCTAGCCATACACGCCTAATATTTTTTTACGTCGCATCACCCGTTGTATATGACAGCCTCACCTCAACATATGGCCCACACATCCCAGGATTGTTGTGGCGGGTGCAGCACGCAAGGCCAACCTCGACCGACCGACCGACTGGTTTTTTTTCAGTGAACAGCAGAAAGCTTCTTCCTGAGCTCCACAAGGAAAGCGTAGACCCTGTGCCGGTGAGGGACAGATTTGGCCACGCTCTCTCTATCCCTGCACCTCTCGGCCCAAGCAAAAATCTTTGAAAACTCCCCTGCAATGTTTATCCCACACTCCTGAGACCAAAGGGACCAGAAGTAAGATGGGATGAGGGCTAAATCCACAAGCCCAAAGCTCTTTCCTCCAAAGTATGGCTTTTCTCCAAGCTCTCCTTCCAGAAGCTTAAAGCAGCTTATAAGCTCCATTTTTTATGCTTCTTGGGCTTCCCTCTGGAATCCGACATCTTCCTTCCAAGGTCACAGACCTATATATGCAGTGACGAATCTAAAATTTATGTATAGGAGACAAAAATGAGTATAAAAAGTAATGTATGTATCTATGTATCAATATATATATATATATATTGTACTTGTCCTCATAAATAATCTTCAAATAAGATTTTTTTTATTACTAATTTTAAATACTTCTCTCTTTTAATTTTTCAATTTAATTGTTTAGAAAATACTCAAAAATATTATATATAAATTAACTCATCTCATAAAATTAAAAATTTTATAAAACCTACCAATATTGAAGTATAATAATAATAGAAATATTGAGGATTCTAAAAGATATAACCTTTTATATTTTATCAAAAAATTATAAATTGAAATATTACTTATTTATTTCAAGAATAAAAAATTTAGAATAATGGTTAATTAAAAGTATCTTAATTTTATTTTTGGTAAGTTCATTTTAATGATAATAGAAATTGATAAACATGAGAAGTTAAAGGGATAAATGGATAAACTTACTGGAGAATTGTTATTATTTTAATGTAATTATTTTATAATTTTACATTTAATCCTTATAAATTTTTAAAACTGTCTTTAAACATTTTGGTTTTTTTTAATAAATTTTTAGTTGTTACTTTTGATTTTTTAATTTTATACCTAAATTTTTAATTTTTTTATATAGGTTAATTTCTCAAGTAAAGGGTGAAAATTTTTTTGCGAAGGGGGTGAGGGGACTATATTTATATACTAATTATATTAAATTAGTAAAACTTTTTTAAATTGAAGGGGGGCACCCCCCCCCCCCCCTTTCAATGTATCCGTCCCTGCCTATATGAAACATATAAACGGAATGGTAAAGCAGACAAACAAAAACAGAATAGATAGTAACCATACGGAGAAATATTTAATTTTCTTTTGAGGTATAGAATATGTGAGTTTAGTCCCCGTGTCATAGTAGCTCAAACCCCATCTCCCATAAAACATCAAGCTCTTATGTCTGCATTTTTATGAAAAAATAGATTTGAGCATATACTTTGAGCTAACTTTCTGATCCCTTCTTATGACAGCTTACAGCTTCTATAATTACTGAAAAACCAACGCCATAAAAGCAAAAGCAGAAGCATTTTTAGTAAGAAGCGGCCCTTTTCGCTTCTGGGTTCTTCTGATTCTGATCTTCAGAAATTCCAAATTTTGCCAAGAAAAAATTAATTAAAAGTTTAACTTGTAGAAAGCTAAGCAGGGGCTTTCAAGTTATTCACTTCCAAACATGCAAGTGAAAACTCACTTTCTTCTCTACGAAATCGGCCCAGAACCCGGCCTCAGCTCTCTTGTAAGGACCGCAAGGCAAGAAAGGAGATTTGTGCTACCAAACCTCATCTGTGTACTCTACAATTATCAGGGACTCGCATATGGGCTTGCTTTTGTGAATCAGAACTGGTATCTGCTTTTGAACAGGGTTCATCTCCAACAGAATATCGCTGTAGTTCGTGACGTTCCCTCCTCTGGACTCGTGTTCCATCCGCCAGGGCGATTCTCACCCTCATCGCAAATGGACTTAGCCAGAAGTCTAGAAGAACTAATTCGTCGGCCAATGGTGATGCGACTGGGTTAGAAGAGCACAGAATAGGGTGAAGAAGTGAAGAAGAAAGCGGCGTTTGGAATGAATATTTGGATGTTTTATGATGCTCAAGAAAGAAGAGAGGGAAAATAAAATGGACAACTGCCGTGACGGTGCGAAAAGAAGGTACAAATTTGTATGGATGATTTGCCAGGATATTCGGATAGAATTGCCTTTGGTTAGTTTGACGTTGGGCAATGCCCCACCGGGGGCAGCACCCTAACTTGCTGTCTCTTTTTCTTTTCCTTTTTTGATACTTTTTCATTTCCTTTCCCCTTCCACGCAAATATCAATAATCGTTTAAGGGAAACTCTCAACAACACAAATGTTAAGTTTTCACTTAGCGGCAGCAAGCTTCTTCCTCAGCTCCACAAAGATGGCATGGACCTTGTGCTGGTCAGGGACAGACTTGGCCACGCTTTCCCTCTCCCCGCACCTCTTAGCCCAAGCACAAATATGAGGAAATCCCTCTGCCATGTTTATCCCACACTCCTCGTATAACCAGCTTTGAAATGGGATCAGAGTCAAATCCACGACCCCAAAAACTCTCACCCCAAAGTGTTGAGTAATAGACGGGCCCAATAAAGTAAAACTGCGGCTAATAAATAAGATGAAATAACAAAACATGAATACAAGGATTTACGTGGAAAACTCTCAAATAAATTTAGGATAAAAACCACGGGTAGGGATAGAAGAATTTCACTATAAAGAAAAATAAGAGTTACAATTTCTCTCTATTTAAAGAGATAAACAATAACAATCTCTCTTAGAATCGGAGAAAAAATAAAAACTCTCTTTCATTCTCTCTATCTGCTCGATGGTTTTGGGAAAACTTGGGATGATTTGAGGAGGCCATTCCCTCCTCTATTTATAGGGGAGAATGGCCTCAATTTTCCAGAAAAGGAGGCTCTTGCATCGCACAATGTCAAAGAAGAGAGCTCCTTTCAGTGCCTGGGTCAAAGAGGAGCCGTAAGCCTCCCTCTAAATAGTTGGATCCATCCTTCATTTTCAAATAAAGGAAGAGCCACAATATGGGTGGCTCCCCTTTTGCTTTTGTCCAAAGATGGGGCTGGACCCCACACAAAGCATGGCTTTTCTCCAAGCTCTCCTTCCAGCAGCTTATAAGCTCCTTCCTTGCTGCGTCTTGGACTTCTCATGTGAAAAACTGGAGATACAGTTCAAATGTTAGGATATATTTATCCAAAAAGAATTAGAATTATTTATAATGACACCATTAGTTATAAAAAGTGGAGTTTGCGTGCTTCTACTTATGAGTTTTTTGCTGAAATTTTAAAAAATAACCCATAATTAGTAAATACCAATAGACATAATTACGTTTTTTATTGTTAGAAGTAGAAAGTTATTGAAAAATAGGTCAAATGAACATTCTCATAAAATATTGTTGATGATTTGCTTGGACTGAAAGATATTTTTTAAAACTAAAATTAATAAAAATTTTCTATGGTTAAAAATGTTTTGAGAAAAATTAAATGCACTACTTATATTATGAATTGAGAAAAAATATTAAAATATATTGAATATGAATTACACTACAAAAAATTTTGAAAAAACCAGCGGTTAGATATGAAAAAAATGGCGGTTCAAAACCGCCGTTTTATACATTCGCGGCGGTTAGGCATACCATCGCAATCTGTCCCATTGTGAGGTAAAATACAACGGTTAAAAGATAACCGCCGTGTAAACTGCTGTTTTTAATAAGTAATGGTGGTTAACTAACGGCGGTTTAACCGCTGTAATGATTAACGGCAGTTGAATCACCGTAATAATTAACAGTGGTTCAACTGTTGTTAATTATTACGGTATTTAGAGCAACCACCGATACGGCACAATTAACGGCGGTTCAACTGCCGTAATTTGAATGGTTACACACCACACTCATTTGCTGGTTTTTGCAAAAATGCTGAAAACATTCATTTAGGCTTCAACCTGTATAGAATATAATTCATTTGACCTGATATAATTCATACCATCCAACTTGTACAGAATAATTTTTCCCATATAACTCCAAAAATGAAATTCTTTTACATGAAAAAGTTTAATAAAATTCTAATAAAACAAATTCAATAATACATCCAATCTGGAATCATTCTGTCATTACATAATCCAATGCTATGAAACTAAATTCTAATTTCATGAAGATGAAAATAAAGCCAGTACAATAAAACACAAAATCGCAACTACTCTTGTGGGCTCGTTTGATTGGGCAATTGACTACTACCATCAAATGATCTTCTTCTATTATTTGTTTGCGCGACCCCACTCCTGTGATCACTAGTCCTTGTGATAATGTCAACAATACAAATAAAACATAATTATTTTAGAGGAATCTTGGCAATTTATCTAGCCAAACAACAAACACTCATAATACCAGAATAGGCCTTTTTAAACCAATTCTTTATCATACCAGAATCTGTTTTGGAAACCAGGAAAATTCTAGTTCCAGAAAATATATGATGAAAATATAATAATCCAAAAGTGAAATTATTAAATACAGTTGGATTTATCATATGGCTTTTATATTTGTGAAAGAAAGTATTGTACTTCACACATCTCCATATAGAAACATGATGATTTTTAAGTATACTACTTAGCAGGTTGAGGAAATTGAAATGCAAAATTTAAGTACCAGACACATAGGTCAATCCTTCTGTTAATTACTGATAATATCCCCAAAATTAAAATTTATGCATTTCAAGTCCATAAAACTATAATCTCTCCATACATATCAGTGAAAGTGAAAACCTTCCCACACACAAATGCAGAAAAGGGAGTAGCCAAAGAAAGAATTGAGAAGTTTAAACCATCAATATTCCGTCCTCTATTTCTTCCTTTTCCTCTGAAAATTAAGCTCATGTGAGACACGTGGTAGACAAATGGAGTGGACAAATGGCTATCAGGTATTTCATTAAAAATCTAATTATTTGAATAAGTAAATTTTAACATTATGATGTTTCCAAGGCCCGTCGACCAAATGAAAAGTACATAAACAAATTTACCAAAATCTCCTTTCATACTAGTTGCTCAATCCTTATGCATGTCATGACCTGCCTATTTTGGTTGGAGGTATATACAAATATTATTTTTTAAATTCTTTCAAATCCTTACTCATTATTTTGCTAATCTATTTCTTAAAATAAGAGTCATTATATCTACAAATTATCACTTTATGAAATCTATCTTTGTTTCCTTACTTTTATCCATACAAGCAATCACCAAAGAAAAATAGCAGGATACCAATCTTGAAATCTAGCCTTGGTTATCAAATTCAGAAGCATAATGTTGGCAAGGAATAATAACACATCAAGGAAAAAGGCCTTTTGATATTTTATTGCTTCTATAATCGTAGTTATTTTGATATTTATTTCTGTACAATTTTTATTAGTTAATTTTATTCTAGAAAATCTGATTATATTAGAATTCATTTCTTTAAAGATTAGGATTTATCTTTTAGTTCTGAGAGAGTATATATGTTCCATTAGGTTTAGGATTAGACATATATATTCATAATTTCTTCCCAATCATAAGCAAAGAGTTGGTTCTTTACGAGTTTATGAGATTTTGTGCCCACAGGCATGGATGAACCTGCAAGTGTATCTTTTTCTTCCCTCATTTTCTTCTATCACTTCTCTTTTTCCTCCTCATTTCTTTTCATTTATCAAATTAGGTATGGAAAAGAACTTTGGTCCTTTGCTCTAGAACCATTTTATTTCCTTTTCTGCTTTATCGCCAATCTCCTCCTAATGAAAAGTGAGAAAATGTCAAGATATCTGCTTTTCATCTTCTTCACCATTGCAGCCACCATGCTGCTCCAAGTTGAAGCCAACAACTTAATATCTTACTGAAACTAAAATCCACAATTGCAACCCATCACTCGAAGCCCATGAACCTTCATTGAAACCATGGCGGCAACAGGTTGCTAACACTTGGGCAGACAAACTTTGCAGGCCATATCCAACACCTTTAGCAAAACCCAAAAGTCCTTGAGATTTGAATACTAATCACCCAATAAAAACCTAAAACTTTTGCCAGTAAGCCCCAATCTATAAACTCAGTTGCCAACATCAATAGCCAGAAACATCCAAAAACCATAAATGCCAAATCCTCTTGCACATGATTCATCCGCTACCAATGCTTTTGACCTCCCTTCCTATAGCTACAGAGCCATGTCATTCTATCAAAGTTTCGCACGAAGCCATGCCCATGAACATCAAACTCATGCTATTTGACCATCCAATGAGCGATGATTTGGATGTGCAATATTGTTAGGTAAAAGTTATTATTTTGTTAAATATAGAACAAGAAATCAAGAAAGAAATTCTGTTGAAGATGCTCAACTCCCTAGTGAAAAAAATTTCAAGTGAAGTAGGTCCATCAAAGAAACTCCTTAAGATGTTTCCTAGCAGCCAAGAGGAGAGCACCATGAAATTCAATGGACAAACAGATGAGCCGTTCTCATTTTCTGTCCCACATAAAAACTTCCAGGTTCCAAAAGATCAGAGTACTAGCTTCAAATCCACGTGGACTGCAAAATATAGTATATGTGTTATTATTTTTTGTTTCCAAACATTCAACAGTTTGTCTTTTTTTTATTTGGACTTTTATTGGTTCTCCCAATTATCTATACATCAATAGCTTATACCAAAAAATATTAACTTATGGCCATCCAACAAATGGAAGTGCCAATAGAAAAGACATCAAAGTATAAGGGTCAATGCAGAAGGTTACACTAGTGTTTGCAACACCGATTTGCCCATCAAATGAAGCACCTTCTTTCTGATACATGCATCACTAGTGTGAGTTTATTTTAATCTTAAATCAAATCAATGCTTTATCTTGATAGATTCTTTGATTTTGAACTATTTAAAATCACAGTTATTTTGATATATTTTATGATTATCATCCTATACGTAACCTAATCTCCTAACATGATTGTAACACTAGGCATTTAATCCTATTTGCAGATTTCTCTACTTTCTTGTTCTTTAATACTGAATCCTATAGTGCCTCTCTATTATCCATTGGTGCAAAGAAAACTAACAAGCAGCA